TATTTCACAGTATTACTGTATTTTTGATCAAATAAATGCAGCCTTAGTCAGCAGCAGAGACTTCTTTCAAAAACATAAAAAAATATTACCAACCCAACACTTTTGAAAGGTAGTGTATTAAAACTATTTTAGAGGGATATAAAATCTTGTATTTTTAGAAACATGCTTTTAAGACATTGCCTTTATATTTTGAGATTTGGTTCTTTGTTGTGCTTTTTTGTTGTTTGCATGGCCTCTAAAAATGTCCAAGAAAGACACTGATTTTTGCTGGAACACATTTAAAGAGATCACAGCCAGAGTTGCATACATCACATTTTTTACATGTGTACAAGAAAGCAATACTAGTGTATCTAAACACACACATGCAAAAGTATCAAAGTTGCTGCCTTGATTGTAAAACATTTTTACAGTCAGATGTTATATATCAAAACATGCATGAACTTGCTCAGTAATAAATGCATATTGAAACTCACATTTGTTTTTAGTACAAACGGATTGTTACATGGAATTTGTAAGCACACCACAAGCAACGGTGATCAAATAGTGATTATGCTTTAAATAGAATTTCACAAGTAGCCTAATATTTGAAAATGTATATTTTTGTCACATTATTTGATTATTCTGAATACTTTTTTAAAGGTAGACGATTTGCGTGAAGCCCGTCCCAAATTACGTCAATCAAACTTGATTACCAAACATCCTGAGGCCACAATGTAGCATGTGAATCCAAAGAAATGTATGCGCTTTTTTATGTACCATAGGTGACCTCCTTATTGGGGCGGGGCTCAATAGCTAGATTAGAAAATCTATATTAAATTGCCTTTACTGGTGGTAAGCAATATTTAAATTTCATCTCTGTACAGTTGTATGTCAATAAAGATATCTCCTTTGAACTGGCATACGAGTGAGTGGGCCGTAACATTGTCAGTCTTCTGAAGTTCTGAAGAGTAAATGATATACTGTAACTGGAACGTACATTCCTTTTCTGCTGCTTGCTTAATGTGTCAGCTCCATATCTGATTATTTTTCTAATATTTTCTATTTTTGACAGCGCCATACCTAATATATGTGTAATTACAGTCAAAGAAGAGTCACATAAACTCTCTCCCCTAGTTAGGCTGGAGCTCTGGATGTAAATTTCAGTTACATTTTGTTAATATTAAGCACAGAGATGCATAGAAGTATTTCGTACAGCTACATAGACAGACACAGAAGTTATGGTAACTAAAGAAAGCATTTTAACATTGAAATGCCTACACCCAAATAATCCTATTGTAAATATGATCTTTTGTGTTGGCAACAAATATCATAATTTACTGTGTTAGTATTGGCCATGTACAGCCCTGTGAGGGGTGAGGATACTGTTGACCTAATTTAATCTTAATCTAATCTTTTCCCAATTCATTTTCAGGAATGGCAGCGGTAATGGTCGTCAATATTTTTCTATATATAAATATATATAATATATCTCTTTATTCACACACACACACACACTCACACACACACACACTCACTCACTCACTCTCTCTATATATAAATAACCTGTTTATTTTACAAACATTAGGAATTTAAGGATGTCTCATCTTGACATAATAGTATGTGAAACTCATAATCCACCAGAGGGCGCTAGTTACTCATATAACACAACCAACTCTAGTGTGTACTTTACCCAGCACCATTAAATGACCTTATACATTTAAAAATATATATTTTCTGTTGTCTTGATTCAATATACTGGGTCTGATTGAAAAGCACAATCTTAGTAGTACACAAATATTGCATTTATTTCAATCTCTGTGTCAGACCCGGACTGTGCTGGAAATGGCTAATGGTGATTAAATGCTATAAGTTTCAAGCAACCTTGGCATGACCTGCTAAAAGTCTAAAAGTGATGAATAATCCCACAAAATCCAATTCTGAGGGAAAATCCATACGGAGCTGCAAACAAAACGCAGCCCAAAGAGATTCTGTGCACACAATATTTTCTCACAAGAGCTGACTATTACTGAATCAATGATCATTGAGTGATAAATGTCTCAGAGGCCAGAATTAACTGAGCCGTGAAGAATAAAATCCTGAACTCTTTAGAAACAAAACAACACAACACAAACACATTTGTTTATCAGAATGCAAAATATTAACAGGCTGTGTGGCTTTACATTTTACAGCGTAGACGCCTTTCTGGTAGGACTGTACAGAGGCTTTTAAATGTATGAAAAGCCCATTTCTCCAATAAACTACTTGTCCAGAACACAGCTTTAATCCACAAAGAGGCATGCTGGGTAATTCATGAGACCATTTTCTCTAGAATGGCTCTGACTTGGAGCGGGTCAGTTCTGCCTTTTGTTTCTCTCTGAACCTCACCCATCAGTTTGTTCAGTACTTTCTTATAATAATCTGAACCTGCAACAACAAGAGTTCATTTGCAAACATCAGTGCATGAATTATCAGAGTTGGCAGACAGTTAATCTTTTAATAAATAAACAAACGAACAAACAGTTTTATGTTTAGTAATAATATTACATATTTGTACTGCCTCAAAATAATTGAAGACAAACTGAATAATCTGAACCTGCAACAAAATTGACTGGCAAAACTTTTTGCATAAATTATCAAATGTGGCAAGCAGTTCATCTTATGAATGAATGAATAAACAAACAAATAATATTACATTTGTGTGCTGGCTAAAAATGGTTACAGAGTTTTTAAGGTGGATTATTGTCTGGATTTTTACCTCCTCAGGGTGACTGTCCACAACACTCTGACAGATGTTTTGTAGCTCCTCTTTGTCTTTTATCATCCACAAATCCTGCTCCTTCACTATCTGGCCCACGGTCTTCTCCGGAGCCTTCCACATCTCCTGGAAAACCTGTGTTCACCACAGACAAACGGGAGAACCTTCTTACAAATCCTCTGGCAAAATAGCCTTTTTGGTATTTTGTAAATGTGCAGTACAAATTAAAGCTTTTTTCAGATTTCTTTCTCACTTACTTGCTTGGCAGTTGAAGATGAGATGTGACCAGACTCTACAAGATTGATCAGCTCAGCAACAGCACCTGGAGAGACAGGACTGAGAAAGAGAGGGAGAAATTAGTACGAAAAGAACAGATCACGGTCTCATAGAGACATGAGAGAAG